TGCGGAGCCCCTAGGCCCTGCGGCTCGCCCCTCCCTCTCCCTCTCCCCCCTCCTCTTCCCCCTTCTACCTCTCTCCTGCCTCTCCTCCCGCCTCTCCACTCGCTCGGCTCCCTCTTTGGCTGACCTTCCCTTTCCCTCACGCCTCCCCACGCCCGGCCCGGGGCCCCAGAACCCTGTCCGCGGCGGCCTCAGGGCGGGGAGAAGCAGCCCGAACCCCCGCCGCCCCCGCCGCAGGGCGGGCGGTCAGTGCGCAGCCCGGCGCCCGCAGCCCGCAGCCCGGAGCCGGATCGCGGGCTTGGACCGAACCCGACCCGACCGCCGCCCCCAGCCAGGTGAGGGCAGCTCAGGGGAGGCGGGGAGCCGAGGGTCCCCCTTTACTGGAAGCGGGGGCTGGAGAGGCGCGGGGAAATTGGGTCCTTTTTCCTTCAAAGGAGGACCTGGGAGCCTTTTCCTGAAACAGGCACAAGGGCTTTCACTCTGAAGGGATGGATGGAGGGAAGGTCTGGGGAGAGGGATTGGGGTACCCCTTTCTGGTTTTTGTTTTTTTAAACAAGGATTAATTGGCTTCTGTGAAAGTGGGACTTCTTGGAAGGCTGAGGGGCTTTCAAGGTAGGTTGGGGAGGGGGCTCTGGCAGGGCTTGAGGGAAGGGTTAACTGGTGAGTGGTGGGGCAGTGGGGGTGGGGCAGCGGGGCACATCGGGAAGCTCTGTGATCCCCTCAACCTGACATCGCTGCACCTCCCGCCTTGCGTCCGGGGCTCTGGGTCTGCCCAGCTCTGTGTCCTAGTTTTTCTCTTTGAAGATGACTATTTTGAGCCCCACCTGGACAGAGCCAGGAACAGCTATTCCCTTCCCTGGGGCTATGACACCCACCTGACACCCTCCCACCTCTGACCTGGTCAGGGAAGGGGGTTCAGGGAAGGACGAGGACCCAGGGATCTGGGAAATGGGCAGTGTGGGTGAAACGAAGGCTGGGTACTGGGCACACAGGAAGTCCCTTGGCACTGGTGGGGTACACCAACTTTGGCTGGGAGGTTGCTAGGCATAGGACGGTCAGCTGCTTCTGGGACATGACCCACTAGGAAAGCAGCAGTGTCAGGAAAAGCTGAGCTGTTCCTCATGCTCCCAGAAGACAAAACACTAGAGAATGTGTTTGCTTGGTTGTTTTTGTTTGGTTTTGCTTTCTGTCTCCTTCACCCTGGATCCCAAGACTCATTCCCCTGATCTCCTCTCCTAGTTTTGCAAAAAGGTAAATTGAGGCAGAGGACAAATTGGCTGGACATACCTGTGTCTAGGAAGGAAGAGTGACAGAGAGGAAGGCATACTGAATTTGAGTTAAAAAAAACCTCAGTACAAGGCTTCTCCCAGTGCTCCATGGGTGACCTTGGGCCAAAATGCTTTCCCTTGTTGGGCCTCAGCTTTCTCATCTATAAAATGGGAGAGCGGCCACCTGTCTTGCAGGTTCGCAGAGACCATGTGTCTAAAACAACTGTGTAAAAGGGAATGCACTGGACACTTGTAAGGTGCCATCTTCACCACCGTGGATGGCCCCTTCCCTTCTCCCTGTCCTCACCAAGGATATCACTAACCCATAGGACACCTTTGTGAGAATCGGAAAAAGCACCTCTTCTGGAAAGAGACAGCATTCAGCTGGGCTAGCAATTTGGGGTCTTTATTATGAGAATGAGAAGGCGGCACACTTTCCTCCAGGTGCTGCTGTAACATGTGGAGTGTGAGCTAGATTCCAGTTAGCATGTTCTGCACATCCACACCTGGCAACCCTTCTCAGCAGGGCCCTGCTGTCTCTAAGAGACGCAGAGCTATACATATTTCCAGGGTATTTGCTACAGAAGCCCATATCCCAGGATATCTGCAGCTCATTTCTTTCCTGTTTTGTTCAAGCCCCAAAGCACATGCCCTAGTAGGAAGCAGATGGAATTCCACCATCAGAGAGTGACTCCTCTGAGTTAAGCAGTGCCTTCACCAAGCTCTCAGGGGTAGGAGTGACTGAGTCCCTAAAAACCCTTATATCAAGAACTGGACCAGATCACTTTTCTCAGGGAAACCAACAGAAGCATTGGCACACCTCAGCACTGCTGTTGACCAACCATGTTCACACCTATCTCAGAGCACCCCTGCAGCAAGCCTGTGTATGATGTCTCCTCCCCATTTACACAGGAAGCCATGTCCAGACGTTAGGGAACCTGACCAAGGTTTCACAGTGTCAGTGGTAGAGCCAGGACCCAAGCTCAGATCTGGCTGTCTGTCCTCTCTAATCCAACACTCCCAAGGAACAAAGCTGCTGACTTCACTGCCTTGCCAAAGCCCTGCTGGAATTGTTGCTCTCCCTCTCCATCCCCAGTAGCCCCTTGCTCACCACTCCTTCCTAACCAGCCTCCAAGCGCAGAGAAAGGAGTCACCTTCTCTTTTACTCTGACTTCATGACTAGGGGAGGAAGCTACCTCAAAGCCCAACTGTTCTGGCCTCCTCTATGCAGGAAGGGCCCCTGGTGAGGCCAGGAAAGGGGTCAGGGAACAGCGATTTCCTTTCCTGCTCAGATGGGGTTTAAACAGTAACGGTCATGCAGAGCGTCAACCCAGAGAGTCTGTATCTGCCTGAGTGGCAGATCAAGGACCATAAAATAACCACAGGAAAATGCAGCCAACTGGAGCTGAGGGGAACTCAGAGACCCCCATGAACCATCCGGTTACCAGGGCCCTTGGGTGTCAAATGGGAGGCGTAGGGGTGAGCCCAGCAGACAGGGCTGTAGGCCTCTTCAACCAGACTGTTTCTGCTGGTCTGTGGTATGTGTGGAAGCTTTCACTTAAGAAAGGGGTTTCATTTTGTGGGTATGCACACACCCACAGCTGTTTGGAGACTCCTAGCCTAATCTACTAGCTCTCAGCACGTGGTCCCTGGACCAGCAGCATCAGCATCACCCAGAAACGCAAATTCTCGCTACTCAGGAGGCTGAGGCAGGAGAATCACTTGAACTTGGGAGGCGGAGGTTGCAGTGAGCCGAGATCGCACCACTGCACTCCAGCCTGGGTGACAAGAGCGAGACTCTGTCTCAAAAACAAAACAAAAACAACAGCAACAACAAAAACCACAAAGAGATGGAAATTCTCAGGCCCATCCCAGACCTACTGAGTGAACTGTGGGGATGGGGGCCAACTATGTATGTTTGAATAAGCCCGCCAGGTGACAGTGAGACTCGCTAGAGTTTGAGAAGCACTGAGCTAGTCCAAGGATGTAGGAAAATTGAGACCTACTTGTGAGTTAAGGGCAGGGCTGGGAAGAGAACCCTCTTCTCCCGATGGAAAGCCGAGCTTTTGGAGGCGGCCCCTGCCAACCCTCCTCTCTCGCCCCTCCATCTCCCTCCCAGGCGCCATGCTGCCGCTACTGCTGGGCCTGCTGGGCCCGGTGGCCTGCTGGGCCTTGGGCCCGGCCCCCGGCCCGGGCTCCTCTGAGCTGCGCTCTGCCTTCTCCGCGGCACGCACCACCCCCTTGGAGGGCACGTCGGAGATGGCAGTGACCTTCGACAAGGTGTACGTGAACATCGGGGGCGACTTCGACGCGGCCACGGGCCAGTTCCGCTGCCGCGTGCCCGGCGCCTACTTCTTCTCCTTCACGGCCGGCAAAGCCCCGCACAAGAGCCTGTCGGTGATGCTGGTGCGGAACCGCGACGAGGTGCAGGCGCTGGCCTTCGACGAGCAGCGGCGGCCCAGCGCGCGGCGCGCCGCCAGCCAGAGCGCCATGCTGCAGCTCGACTACGGCGACACGGTGTGGCTGCGACTGCACGGTGCCCCGCAGTACGCGCTGGGCGCGCCCGGCGCCACCTTCAGCGGCTACCTGGTTTACGCCGACGCCGACGCCGACGCGCCTGCGCGCGGACCGCCCGCGCCCCCCGAGCCACGCTCGGCCTTCTCGGCGGCGCGCACGCGCAGCCTGGTGGGCTCGGACGCGAGTCCCGGACCGCGGCACCAGCCGCTGGCCTTCGACACCGAGCTGGTCAACATCGGCGGCGACTTCGACGCGGCGGCTGGCGTGTTCCGTTGCCGATTGCCCGGCGCCTACTTCTTCTCCTTCACGCTGGGCAAGCTGCCGCGCAAGACCCTGTCGGTGAAGCTGATGAAGAACCGCGATGAGGTGCAGGCCATGATTTACGACGACGGCGCGTCGCGGCGCCGCGAGATGCAGAGTCAGAGCGTGATGCTGGCCCTGCGGCGTGGCGACGCCGTCTGGCTGCTCAGCCACGACCACGACGGCTACGGCGCCTACAGCAACCACGGCAAGTACATCACCTTCTCCGGCTTCCTGGTGTACCCCGACCTCGACCCCGCCGATCCGCCAGGCCTCGCGGCCCGGGAGCTGCTGTGAGCCCCGGGCCGGAGAGGAGCCCGGGAGGGCCAGGGGGGTGCATGCCGAGCCGGGTCCGCGACCCGAACGCCCCGCGCGAGCGCGACGGCTACTGGGCGCGCCTGAACTCTGACAATAAAGAAGAAAGCGGGCCCGCGCGGCGCCCGACAGCCCAGGCCCCTGCGCTGTCTTGACTACGATGCCTTCTCCGGGGATGGGTGGGCAGGCGCTGACTACCAGGGGCCCACAGGCCCAGGGAGAGGGTTGAAGGTTGGAGCGCAGGGTCCCTTCAGACCCTGGGAGAGCGAGAAGGTGGGAATTTGGTGAAACCACGTTCGTTTAGCTCGTTGGGGCCGCCCTTTCCTATCCTTGCCTTGTCCAGCCCTCTGACTCCTCATTGACCGATGACTTCAACCTTAGTACCCGGCTGATGCCTTTCTGTGACAAGGGACAGCACCCCATTGGCCCACTGGGGGCATGGAATTCAAGGAAACAGTGCATTCCTCCTTCTAGCAGGGTGTGGGAATGGGATGAGGAGTTGATACCTCCTTGTCCTGACTCTTGCCTTCCCTGGATGGGGCGAGTGATTTGCCCAGAGCAGGGGACAGCTTACTCCGACATAGAATGACACAGGCTCTGGGAGGCCGAAACAGAACATTTAATGAGAAGAGCAACACAGAATCAGGGCCGCACCTGCTCCAGCCCACCTCCGCTTGTCTCTCCTTGGTCTTCTCCCAGCCTTACTCCCTCCTCTGAGGTGTTCACTCGACACTTGTTGAGATACTGCCTCCCTCCGCCTGCTTCCCTCCACTCCTCCAACAGACAGAGCTCAAGTCTAATCTATTCTCCCAACCCAGATGGGAACTTGGAGGCTCGGGGACCCCAGATCCTTGGTTGTGCTTAAAAGGGGATGCTCAGCACCTAGAGGATTCCTGTGAATTCCACAGGACCGTCACAGACTGCCAGGGTAGCAGTTGGAGGATCTGACCTGGCCTTACTTGGGACAGCTTCCCTTTCAGCATCTCTTGAACACACTTCTCAAACCTGACTCCTGATGTCCACACACCCCTGCCTGCCTGTCATGCCCTTAGCTCTGTGCCTAATCCTTGGAACCCAAAGCCTGGGTTCTTAGCCTCTCAAGATCCAAGAAACAAGATCTGGTCAGGGTAAGCAGGGAGGGGATGTCGCAAGCCAAGCCCAGAGATCTGAACACAGTGAAAAGAACTAGGTGCCAGACAGAAGCCCCTGCCCAAGATGGGTCTGCCTGGGGAGTTGAGGGGGAGAGGGGAGGGGGTAATGGCAGGTGAAAGAGCAAAAGGGGAGGGTCAGGGGAAGGGGTCAAGGACGGAGGCCCAGGGACCCAGGGAAGGGGGCTGGTCCTGGGGGCAGAAACCCTTGCACAGGTCCCAGAGTGTTTCCTGTGCCAGGAGAGTGAAGACTTGGGCCCAGCGGCCCCGTTCCTCAGCCTCACTAGCTGCGTGGAGCCGGTAGATGCAGGACAGGGCCGTGAGGAGCAGATGTTCAAAGTCCCAAGTGCTAAGAGGAGGCCCCTTTCGCAGGTCCTGGAGCTGCTGCAGCCGCTGCTCAGCGCCCTCCAAGTCACTGGGCACGTGGTGCTGCAGGAGGAGCCTGAGTCGGCGGCCTGGGTGTGTGGAGGCTAGTTCCTCGTCCTGGATATGCAGCTGCCCCATGACATCGAGCTCCAGCCCAGCCCAGAGCAGCTGCAAGGGGAGCCATGTAAGGGGTAGGCTGTGGCCTGGGGAGCAGGGCAGGGAGCAAGAGTGGGCAGGGGGAGGGGGCAGAAGCAGGCAGTAGGACCCATGCTGGCTTGTCCCCCAACCCTAGCAGACCCACCCTGAGACATCCCCCTTCCCAACCCTGAGCTTAGGGACCTCTGGACATGCCCACCCCCATGTCCCAGGCTGGGAGGAAAGACCTCAAACATCACTTCCGGGGCCTCTGGCTCCTGCAGGCCACCTCCCACGCTGGTGCTGTCCATGGGCTGCCCTGGGGCAGCAGAGAGGAGTCAGGCCCCTGCCATGCTACACCGTGAACACCCAACCTCCCAGAAGTGCCCCTCTGCTGCCTGGTAGGGGTCCTGAGCAGTTCATCATGCTACAAAAGGGCAGGAATGCCATCCCATGCCCCCTTTTCCCCTCCCTCTCATGCACACACATGCACATTGACATTCACCCTCCCAAGCATAGGTCTTGTGATCTCAAAAGCATCATCCCAAGCCCAGTTACCATGTTGGCAAATGCCCAGGACTCCTCCCTTAACTTGCACAATGCCCTTGGTAAAGAGCTCCAGGCCAACGGGTCACAAGACCCTTCCCCACCATCCTCCCCTCCCTATAATCATCTGAGGGCAGAGTCACGTAAAACAGTGCCAGTTACTCTCCCAAGGACAAGGACCTCTTTGGGAAGAGCCTACTCTTTCCCTGTTCCTCCTCAGCGGTAGATCCTTGTGAGGCAGCGAGGACAGGGCAGGGGAGGATGTCTGTGGCAACTCCCTCCAGCCCACACCTTGGGATGTTGCCTCACCCTTGCAATGTTTGTTCCAAGCCCAGGCAGGTCAAAAGACTCTGCTTTGGGCATCAGCGGGAATGAGCCCAGGGCCAGCATTAAGAGCACTTAGGGCTATCTCCCTAGGTGTCACCTGTACCTTTTCAGTTCTGGGGGTGGGGCCCACACTATCACCCACCACAGCACACATCAGCCTGGTACCTACCATGCCCACACTTCCTATGCCCAACTAGCCTCCCCAACTGTTAACTGCTGTCAGCTGGCAGCCTTCCTTGGATCCTCTCCACCCACCCTGAAGCCCTGATACCTGCATGGTGCTGGGTTGTAGACACAACAGAGAGGAGACAAATGGCTACCACCAGGCAAGCCAGGAACTGCAGGGTCACAGCCATGCTTCACCACGTCCTCTGAGTCTCTCTCTGTTCAGCAGCTCTCTGCTCCCTCATCTGCCTGCCACACACCTCGGCTTCAACTTTCCACTGCAGGCTGCTCCAGAGCTCTGTAATGCGTGTCAGTCTTCAGTGCTCAACAGGGAGGGGCTGGCTGTGGCCTTGGTCACCTCCCAGGAGCTCTTTCCATTCTTTAGAAATGGGGAATCTGGTTGTTGGCAGGAACCTGGCTCCCTGCTTGTCAGGCCCTCAGCTTGTTCCTGCCCAGATGGGCGGTATGCTTAGTTAATAGGAAAAAGGTGTTTGGTAGCAAATAGCTCTGGCTTGGCCCTCCCAAAGGGTAGGAAAGCCCAGGCAGTAGGACCACCTTACTGTCTTCACCCTCAAAACATCCTGCAACTGAGGCCAGCCCTGACACCCAGTCTGGCCCAGCCCAGCCTCTAGGAGCCCCTCAGCTGCCAAATGCATCAGCTGCAGTCTTCCAACTGCATGGCGGGCTGGCTGGGCGGCCCTAAACACAGGCAGAGCCAAGCACTCCCCTCTCAGGCACTCTGCTACAGGCTGAACAGATCCAATCAGCTGGGCTAAGGAGTACCGTCCCCTGGCAGACAGACAAATCTGCAGCTCCTGAGTAGTTTTTGCCCCACCCTGGGACCTCTTGTTTCCTAACAACATTCTTAATTCAGGGCGAGCACAGTGGCTCATGCCTGTGATTCCAGCACTTTAGGAGGCCAAGACAGGAGGATGGCTGAGCCCAGTTCAAGACCAGTCTGGGCAACATGGTGAGATCTCATCTCTACAAGTAAAAAAATTAGCTGGGTGTGGTGGGAGACACCTGTGGTCCCAGTTACTCAGGAGGCTGAGGTGGGAGGATCACCTGAGCCCAGGCAGTCTAGACTGCAGTAAGCCCTAATCACACTGCTGTACTCACTATAGCCTGGGTGACAGAGAAGACCTTGTCTCAAAAAAAACTCCACCATTTCTCAGCTCAGGCCAAAAACCAGGAAGATGCCTATAGATCAAGAGTGATGGGCTACCATGCCACACCCATCCTGAGCCCTGTGGACTATGAGAACTTTTGATTACAGCTCCAGAATCCCTCTCAGAAATACATGTGGCCAGGCATAGTGGCTCATGCCTATAATCCCACCACTTTGGGACGCTGATGTTGGTGAATCACTTGAGGCCAGGGGTTCGAGACTAGCCTGGGCAACATGGTGAAACACCATCTCTGCAAAAAATACAAAAATTAGCTGAGTGTGGTAATCTGTAGTCCCAGCTTCTCAGGAGGCTGAGGTGGGAGAATCGCTTGAGCCTGGGAGATGGAGGTTGCAGTGAGCCGAGACAGCACCACTGTACTCCAGTCTGGGTGACAGCGAGATTCCATCTCAAAAAAACATAAAAGACTCCCTGGTTTAGTAGTGTCTTTCTAAGGGAGCAGGGAGACACCCCTGCTTGCCTGTGTCCCCCATCAAAGTATCACTTCTCCCCATTATACAAACACACGAAGTGGTGAGTCTAAGTAGGAATTTATTTACATGGACACTCAATTATAGATAAGGGGCTTTCTAGGATCCACACGCCTTCCCTGGAGCTACTTGGCTTCAGGCTTCTTGTCCCCCGCTTCAAGCTTGAGACTCTCCGGGGGTTGGCGATAGACTGGAAAAGCCTCCCAGGGGCTGTTCAGGTCAAATTTGCGGAACTCTTGGGCCAACTCCACTGGCTCTGCCACCACTCGCTTCACCTCATCGTCATAGCGTAACTGCAGGAACAAAAGGCAGGCTTGAGCACTGAGGAAGTCCTTAACATAGCTACAAAGGAACCTACTTTCACAAGGCTGTGGGTTATTTCCCCAGCCCAGTTCGTGTCCATCACTGACTCCTGTTCCAGCCTGTCATTAAGTCTCCATCCACACCTGTTACGCATCAGATCACATTCCAACCAGCTAGAGTGTGTGATTCCAAAATGTAGGATACCTCTCATGCCCTGCTAACCACTCCCACATCATGAGGTCTGAACTGACTCTGCTCACCCACGCAAACACTCTTATAAGGGGTAATGGTAAGCATTTGCCTAGGATTAGGGAGTAGTCGGTGACTGAAAAGAGTAAACCTAAACTGGCAGATACACAACCTCAGGCCCTGTGCCCTTGGCATATTCACTGTCCAGATCTAAAGCAGTACATTTGACATAGCTTTTCTTGTTACTGGAGGGTCAAATGGATAAGGTAAGGATCATCAGGTGCTAGAGTGAAGAGGCAAACCAGGTGAGGCAGATAAGATAGCAGGAGTGGGGTGAAAGGGAGAAGCAAGGGAGACAGCCCTGCCCAGAAGTAGCCCAAGAGGAAACTAGGCGCATGCAAAGCACTATCACAGCAGGAGTGCCTGGGGACTAAAGGAGCAGGCCTGGAGCACCACGTCTCAGCATTTCTTTTTTTTTTTTTTTTTTTTGGGGACGGAGTTTCGCTCTTGTTACCCAGGCTGGAGTGCAATGATGCGATATCGGCTCACCGCCACCTCCGCCTCCTGGGTTCAGGCAATTCTCCTGCCTCAACCTCCTCAGTAGCTGGGATTATAGGCACGCGCCACCATGCCCAGCTAATTTTTTGTATTTTTAGTAGAGACGGGGTTTCACCGTGTTGACCAGGATGGTCTCGATCTCTTGACCTCGTGATCCACCCGCCTCGGCCTCCCAAAGTGCTGGGATTACAGGCTTGAGCCACCGCGCCCGGCTAGCATTTCTTTTCTTTTTTTTTTTTTTGTACCCAAAAATCCAAGTCTAATGTCTCAGCATTTCTAAACAGTTACTTTGCTATAAAATTCACGAGTGATAGGCCGGGCGCGGTGGCTCAAGCCTGTAATCCCAGCACTTTGGGAGGCCGAGGCGGGTGGATCACGAGGTCAAGAGATCGAGACCATCCTGGTCAACATGGTGAAACCCCGTCTCTACTAAAAATACAAAAAATTAGCCGGGCATGGTGGCGCATGCCTCTAGTCCCAGCTGCTCAGGAGGCTGAGGCAGGAGAATTGCCTGAACCCAGGAGGCGGAGGTTGCGGTGAGCCGAGATCGCGCCATTGCACTCCAGCCTGGGTAACAGGAGTGAAACTCCGTCTCAAAAAAAAAAAAAAAAAAAAAAAAAAAAATTCACGAGTGATAATATAACACATTATCTTCCTGCAAATAAACAATCTGCAGCACCACTGAAATTCTTTATTCACATGTTACTGGTCCCACTTCAGAGATAATTTTTGAGGGCTAAACATTTGGCGTCTTCCCTGTCACTACTTTCCCAGAGACTCAAGGCAGGGTAAAATAATCCTCTACTTCCATGTTTTAGGGACAGACTGTGTCCTCAAGGTTACCTTGATCATTAAAATGATTATTACCATAATGGATAACATTGGCCAGGTGCGGTAACTAACGCCTTTAGTAACTAATCTGCCCAAGGAGGGCAGATGGCTTGAGCTCAGGAATTCGAGACCAGTCTGGGCAACATGGAGAAACCCCATCTCTACAAAAAATACAAAAATTTGCCGGGCGTGATGGTGCATGCCTGTATTCCAAGACACTCAGAGGGCTGAGAGGTGGGAGGATCACTTGAGCCTGGGAGGTAGACTGCAGTGAGCTGTGATCGTACCACTGCTCTCCAGCTTGGATGACAGAGTAAGACCCTGACACACACACACACAGCATCAATTGAGCCTTTACAATACACCAGCCTTCATACATACATCATTTATTTATTCAGGACAGGGTCTCACTCTGTTGCCCAGTCTGGAGAGCGGTGGTGTGATCTCAGCTCACTGCAACCTCCACCTCCTGGGCTCAAGTGATCCTCCCACCTCAGCCTCTTAAGCAGTTGGGACCACAGGTATGCACCACCATGCCCTGCTAGTTTTTGTATTTTTTTTTTTTGCAGAGATGAGGTTTTGCCATGTTGTCCAGGCTGTTCTCAAACTCCTGGACTTAAGCACTCCTCCTGTCTTGGCCTCCCAAAGTGCTGGGATTACAGGAATGAGCCTATATACGTTATTTAATGTTTGCCACAAATACATTAGTTTAAGTGCTATTATTATTGCCATTTCAAGATGAGAAAACTGGCCAGATGCAGTGGCTCACTCTTGTAATCCCAGCACACTGGGAGACTGAGGCAGGTGGATCACAAGGTCAAGAGTTTGAGACCAGCCTGGCCAATATGGTGAAACCCAGTCTCTACTAAAAATACAAAAATTAGCTGGGCATGGTGGTGGGCGCCTGTAGTCCCACTTACTCAGGAGGCTGAGGTAGGAGGATCACTTGAACCCAGGAGGCGGAGGTTGCAGTGAGCTGAGATTGCACCACTGCACTCCAGTCCACAGTCCAGGCGACAGAGTAAGACTCTGTCTTAAAAAAAAAAAAAAGAGAGAAAGCTGAGTCACAGTCAAACCACCAAGTAGCTTGCCCCAGGTTACAAAAATGAATCTAGGATCTGAATCCAGGGCCCATGCTCTTAAACCACCACAACCCACAGACCATATTTCCTGCCATCCCCAGGGATCCCTTGGGTTCCCTGCAAGTCCCTCCCTGAGGCTGCTGTCCATCTCAGTTCCAAGGCTCCTACCTCGACATAGCCAGATAGAGGGAAGTCTTTCCGGAAAGGATGTCCCTCGAAGCCATAATCTGTCAGGATCCTTCTTAGATCAGGGTGATTAACAAAGAAGACTCCAAACATGTCCCAGACCTAGGAAAGAGAGGCCCTCAGGCAGCCAATCCATCAAGACTAACAACAGGGTAAGGGGGCTACACTGCATTCCACAGTGTCAACCAGTTCTGCAACTCTGGCCCAGAGGCAGGTCCACCATGTGCAGTAACTCACCTCCCTTTCATACCAGTTGGCTGCCTTGAACACAGAGGTAATGGACTCAATGGGTGTCAGCTCATCTGTGTAGGTCTTCACACGGATCCGTGAGTTGAAGCGCAGAGACAACAGGTTGTAGACAATCTAGGGAGAACAGATTGTTGGGAAATCTCCCTGGTTGGGAGAGTTCTGCCCTGTGACCATACCTTCTATTCTGAACCTCAAACCTCAAGCTTTCCCTATGCTTACAACTACTTCCAAAGGCCCAGGCCACAGCTGTAGCTTAGCATGTCAGCATGCCTGTGTTTCCTCATGCTATTCCGTTTGTCTGGAATATTTCCCTGGTCCACCTCACACCAACCCTCACCAAGGCTAATTCCTGACCGCCTGCTCATGTGTTAAGATTCAGCACAAACTCTCTCTCCAAAGAAGCCTCCCAGACAGGGCCAAGTGCCCCTCCTGCTTTTTTTTTTTTTTTTTTTGGTCTTCTTTGGGTGTTGCCCAACTTCCTGTTGATTTGCAGTTTTCTTAAAGCACCCTCTAATATCCTATGTACTAGATGTTACTACAGTAAGCTGTTTGGATGTCTTTCTCCTTCACCAGAGTGTGGGGAACTCCTGAAGGACAAATACTTAGTGTTATTTCTCTCTCCATCCCAGGGTCTGGCAAACAGTAGATAATCAGTAACATATTAATAGCTATATGTATTGAGAACTTAGAGTGTGCTAGCAAGTTACTTGAACTATCTCATTGGATCCTTATAACCATTCTATAAGATAGGGGCAGCTTTATATTTATTTTCCAGGTAAGAAAACTAAAGCTCATAAAGATTAAACAAAGGCCGGGAGCGGTGGCTCACGCCTATAATTCCAGCACTTTGGGGAGGCCAAGGCGGGCAGATCACAAGGTCAGGAG